CTCGGAATGGTATCCTCGTAAGGAGTGTTGCAGTTGATATCCGTGCTCAAGGTAATATTGTTGCCGCTGTCGGTAGAGACCATTACCGATTCCGTGCCGGCTTCTAGAGTCTGGCACCCAGCTTTGAAGCCTCCAACCTCTTTTCCTGGCCCTGAACAATCGCTTGCGGTGTAGTAGGTAACTGACCACAGAGCAGAAGCTGATGTGGCTATTCCAAGGATGTGAGGTAAGTTAAGGCGCATACTATCAGCGTTTGGATATAATGTGGACGTGGTATAGATGGAGAGCAAGCTGGGGGCCAGAATACTGCCTGTAGGGAGCCCTTTTTATATCTCCCTCCAGGTCAGAAGTGCACCTTTGCAGACAATATAGTCGGTCTGCAGTGCTGGTCTGACTGGTTCAGATGAGACATCGCTGAGCTCTCTTTCCTAAACTACAACTTCCTCAATTTACCACTCGCAATACCCTGTTTCTTTGGTAGCCTGTTCATCCTCTTTAGTACGTTCAACTTAAGAAATCTACGTAAACGATTGGGCTTTTCTGACCTCCCTGATCGTCTGTCCAAGGGGGTTTCGCTTAATCCATCAAAAGCATGTTCTTCGCTGCGGAGAAAACGGAACTCATCTCTCACCCGGAAACAGCGCGAAGAAGACCAGGGCCTGGTCATCATGAACGGGAAAACGGTCGAACCGTCTAGCACCGCGAAACTTCTAGGCGTGATATTCGATCAGGAGTTGCGCTGTAAAAAATACGTGCAGTAAATTCCTATTCTTTGGTATTGGTTTTTCCCCCTCTTGTTGCTCGGTCAATGCAGCTATAATGAGCCCCAGGCCCATCCGCTTTCCGCTCTCCTCCTCAGACGGCCAGCGGATATCCCCAACAGTGGGCGGAAGCTGATTTTCCCTCTTTGTTGGTCGCATCTAATGTCATGTTTATTAGCACTTTGTTGCTCCTACTCTTACTCCGAAATTTGACTCTTTGTTCCACCATTTTCTCCGACAAATGGGAGGCACATAGACTCTTCAACCACACCTGGAATGTTATTGTGACCAGTCAAATTATTGCACGCACCAGAAGATGGATGCCTGTGCTTTGGCATGTTTCTGGATACGGGCAACAATAAAACCCATTATCTGCGAATCCCCTGATGATAGCAATTTCATGTGAGAGTCTGCCCAAGGCCAGCTTATAAATGACATGTCCTTCACCATTAACGACTTGAGGGAAGCGTGCAGCAAATATTTCCAGTTGGTAATCCTTGAGAGTTTGAACCCTACAGCCACCCTCGATGCGCACGAGTTGCGATTTTCCATCCGGCCACAAGTTTCTTACCCGAGAACTTTCCAACGTCAGGTCGACCATGTGGAGACAGTTGCAACGACGCACATTCCAGTTAAACGTAACAGACGCTGCCCACCACTCTGGAAATCACAAACTACAGTATGATCCCCGTGAGGTCCGGGCCCGGAAGGTGTTGCGGTGGGTGACTTTGACGGAGATGGCCATCTCGATATTGTGGTTGCGAATGGGGTCGACGATACGGTGAGCGTCTTGCTCGGAACTGGATCAGGGAATTTCCAGGCGCAGGCCACGTTCCCTGTGGGGTCATTTGCGCACGGCGTTGCACTGGGCGACTTCGACGAAGACGGCCACCTCGATATTGTGGCTTCAAATGCAGCCGATGATACGGTGAGCATCTTGCTCGGGCGGGATTGGATCGAAGAGCTTCCAGCGGTAGGCGACTTTAACGAAGATAGCTATCTCGATATTGTGGCTTCGAACTGGTACGGCAAAACAGTAAGCGTCTTGCTCGGGACGGGAACGGGGGTTTCTAGGTGCAGGCCACATTCCCCGTGGGGTCCCAGTTAGTGTTGCAGCAGGCGAGTTCGACGGAGATGGCCATCTATACATCGTGACTACGAATGATGCCGACAGTACAGCGAGCGTCTTGCTTGGGAAGCCTTGCGGCGCTTAGAATCGCACTGGGGTTATGGACCGAGTATATGCAACGTGTGGGACTTCCATTTGGGAATAATGCTCAGTAGTAACATTAATTATCCTCCCATTATGAAAGTAGGGAAGAATAGGAAGAGACATAACAGATATCTGTACAGTATAGAAGTCTTCTGTGAACTCTTCTACTTCTGCCATTTTTGGCGAAGATTATCCCTAGTCGTTTTGGGCACCAAAAACAAGCGGCAAACTTCCTCGCCACTCAGGATCTTGGATCTATTTATATACTATCATCACTACCAAATGTCTAAATTCCGTGCAATCTTTTGCTGGATGCTGGAAAGGAGATCAATGCTTGGCCACCCACATGTCCAGTCTCTAAATGCTAAGTCTAGTGCTTACAGGTCACGTTCGTGGGGGATGATCATTTATGTTTATCAATTATGAAGATTTTTTTGGTAGACAGATATTACTTGTATGCTGTTCCAAAATGTACTTCATATAATGGGACATAAATTATAAGATTCAATACACTATCTCAACGGACAAGTAGCTTGAGTTGGTGAGCAAATTCAATGTGTCTTCCTAGACTGATAATCAATAGAAAAGAGGACAGTGACAGACAGAGACAAATAATATGAAAGGCTTTCGGAAGCATAGTGGCAAGGTGTGCTGCAGCGACCTTTCCCAAATTCTGCACGAAGGTGACTAGGAGCTCAAATCGAATTTCTGTTCCTGATCGATGGTGGTGGACATCCTCGTATGCGAGACTTCACAATATTTGTCTTCAGGTAGCATCTTCCTAAAACTACAGCTGAACAGAGCTGTAGCACCTTAGGGCTCACTATATCCGAAGAATCAAGTCCACATCCACGGCCCGGAGTCACTCCATTCCTTGGGATTCGAATATCTAGCTATTCAAATGTATCCCTAGAAAAAAGCCAAAGGCTTCTGCCATTTGGGACAAGGAAACTTCTCCCTGAACTTTGCAACTGCTGGTTCGAAGTGATTTCTGGTAGCTCCCGTCATTCGAAGATTTCCCAATGCGTCAAGTCTGCCAGGAGCCCACATAAAATTTTGATGCTCATTCGGATCCAAGACGATGGGGTAGGATCCACGGCGAGGAGACTTTAGAAACTTTCGAGACTTCTCGGCCTCAACCAGGAAATGAATTTGTTCAATCCATCTCTTGCTTTTTGGTGTATCAAACACATCGTTGCCGCCCACTTGATCATATATGCAAGTAAGTATCAGGCCGGTCTCCTCGAAGAATTCCCGAATCAAAGCTTCTAATATCTTTTCTCCGGGATCAACTTTTCCCCCCCATGCCTCGTACATATTTGGCGAGGAGTCATGCTTAGCACGCTGTCCCAGGGAGGCCCGTATTTTGCCCCTCTGCCATCTGCAGAGCCAACCTCTCACGCTGATTCCAGATACTTTGCCAATATTATCCAGGGGGTCACACTCCTCTTTCCGCTTCTTCAGGTATTCTTCCCATGGGACGTCGAAGTGTCGGAGGCTCTTTGCGACACGGCAGATGCCGAATTTGGTTTTTATGAGGAAAAAATCGTCGTTCATCTTTCTTGGTCACACTGGCAATGAATAGGGTCACTAAATAATGAGAGTTAGAATTTTCTACGAATCAAATTCATGGTAAGACAAGAAATCGAACCTTGAGGAAATGACAACGCCGAAGTAATCAGCGGAATAGACCCGGGACTGAAACTGACAAGAAGTTCCGTTCCTGTCAATTTAAGCCTTTGGTTCAAGGACACCGTAGTGTGGGCCAGAAACATCACATAAGCAGATGATATGACTCATGGTCTTGAAGAGACACTAGCACACCGTCTGATATGTGGCCTACCCCCCTGTATGCACGCCAAGGGTGAGCTGATTGGATCTCACTATATCAAAAGCCACATTTGCCAGACTAATAATGTGATTGCTTCGTTTCTACGCGCAGCGGAGGTCATCTGGAGCGACTCGAGTCTCCTGCTTAATTCGGACATCGCTGTCTGTTTGAACTATGGTTGGTCCACTTGAGCTGGAAAGTCCAACGCAACGTTGAAACGCTTCCCAATTCTTAGGACTAGCTTAGTATTGTGCCTACAGGAGTTTGGGAAACATCAGAAATGAGACCGACTGGCGGACTCTGGGCTAACTATTTTTACGTCTGGTAGCAGATTTAGAAAATATCAAATGACGAGACGGCCAGTTTGGCACTAAAGCGACTAAACAAATATAGAGGCATCTCGTGAGTCCCGAGGGATAATGCTGGCAACACAACAAGTATTATGGTCGAGATTGTGCTGAGCTCCTAGACGATCCCAATATTAATTTGCGGCTGTTGCCAATCATTTCCCAAAGCTATGTGGCTAGGCAACACGTCTACTGTACCCATGCAAGATACTCCTCCTATCCCAGATTCACTAAAAGCAATTTTGAAGATACACTAGCGGTACTGTAAGAGGTGGGCGGACGGCATTTGATCTTGGCTATTGACATCGCTTGCATATATGGTCCGACGGTTCGAGGTCAACCTTTGATGTCTACCTACTCCGAGCAAACGGGCCTGCACTTACATTTACTCTTGAAGTTGGCGATCCAGGATAAGATTCGTGCTGCGAGGATTTTGAGTCCACGTTTGCGTTCATGAAGTAGGATATCGAGCCCCAACCGCAGTGACAACTAAAGCCACTAGTCACTGATAGGTTGCTGCCTCCTGTCAAATCACGAAGCCTTGATTTGCTCTTTGAGTAAACAGTGCCCCACACACCCAATGGAGTACCTAAATAGCAACCATCCTGGTGATGAATATTTTATTGCCGAATTCATTCTGGTTCGCTTGTTGGAACTTCGAATATTCTTAGGGTCGTGCGTGCAGGAGTTACATCATAAATGTATGTCTTGAAATCACCACCTTTCTGATCTTGAGAAGCCTTATCCGTTGAGTATCTCAGTAATTACCTGTCTGTATAACCTGTCCTCTATTTTTAGTAGAACAAAAGGCATTCGATAAAAGATCACTTGACTTCAAAAGCATGGACTACATACATATGGTTCCCCCTAGCTGTCTTTCAGCGATGGGATGAAGGCAACGCGGGATCACCAGCCTTGGCTCGCACCAGATAGCTTAGCTCAAAAGTCCAGTGCGATTGCCATAACTGTCTGCTTACTAGCAAGTGCAATTGAATCCCTTCGCAGGAATGTAAGTCATCCAAGGACCGGACTATATAATGAGTTAGTACCTCTTAGTCCGTAGTCCCAAACCCGCTATAATTAAAGCTTTGAAAACTGACCGTTGCAATCCGCACACCTAGCCAGAGGCACCTACGTGTTCTTGTTTCCACCTCATCGATCGAATCACCTAGTCCATCTTTGAAAAAACGGTTTGGGTAATATAATTGACTCCACACTTGACCACGTATCAGGTAATCTTCTGGTAACACCGGAGCTGCTCCATCATCCGCAGTTGGAAATGGCTCGTCTTCGATCTTCAGAAATGCAGCATCGGATGTGACCAGACCATTGAGGAATCTGGTGATTGCTCTCCAAGGAACCTTTGTCCCCAAATTTTCCATGAAAGAGCGATGAACGGAGACGCACCAGAGAAACGCCAGACAGAAATGGATCCCTGGGACTGTGTTGTGGCTGCCACTATACTGAAGAAGGACCAAGAGAGTTTCAAACGTAAGGTAAATTCCCTGAAGAGCGTGGTTTAGTTATAACTCAGGTTTTGGTCGGTAGCACCATTGCTTACATCCGCTTGGCCCAATCCATTCGCATGGTGAGTACGCCCACCCTGGATTTGGGGAAATACCACAGTCGTGAATGCAGGTTCGCCATAATGAAATACAGAGGCAAAATTGCAGGACATGATGTACACTGTGTGTTGTCCTTGGTAATCATATCCTTGAATGTACGATGGTAAGAGCGACAAAAAGCCGTTTGCCAAAGTCATAAACCGCCCAAACGGGTCATCCGTGAGTAGCACATAATGTGCAGCGATGAATGAAGTGGCCATGGTTGTATGTTGAAGTGCGAAAGTGTCCCAGCGATCGAAGAAACGACCAACGGTTACCCAGCTGTGGAGGAATGGCTGAACACTGATCAATGCCTTGGTAAGGTAAAAGAGGGTCTGAAGGGGATCAGACCGTGACGAAGCCGCGAGTTGATGTTGGACTTGTCCGCTATCGGGATTTCGGTCCGCGGCCTTTTGGTACCAATACCGCGGTATGACTTGCCAATCTTCCCTATTCGACTTTTCCACAACCACACGGTATAATGCCAGGTCACCCAGCTGTTCAAACAATGAGTCTCCAAGTGCTGAATTAGACAGAATTAACCGCTTCAGGATTGATGAGACGGTTTCGATGAAGAAGAGCATGTGCTCCAAAGTCTGTGGGAGGTCCTGTCGTAGAATATCCAACAACGAATGAATTCCGTACCGCCACATCCGACCAGACATGGCGTATTTTTTAGGAAGGCATCTGATGCTCTCGCTAGCGGATGGATACTGGCACATAAGGAAAAAACGTGCATGCTCCTGAAGCAGATTCAAATGTAGGGTGATAAGGTCTTGCCATCGGGCGCTAGGTAAGTCGACTGTGGATGGTGCTCGGTTCTGCTCAAACCAAAGACATTTCTTCTCACATTGTACAAGCCTTTCGTATTGTTCTTCGACGGTAAGGATGAGCTTTGTTTGCTCAAAATTCCCAGTCGCCACCTCATTTCGAAATTCGGATGACAGCGAGGGTGAACCCATTTGGCACCAAGATTGGGATTTCGATAGATTTTCTAGGGATCAGTCTGGGGACAGCACTGGCTGTAGCCGTTCTCGAAGATCTCGAAGACAATCTCGCAGCAATTATTCGTCCTGAGGACATGTTAGCTGACTCCCTACTGTCCCAATTCTGTCGTTGAGCAAGACAAGAAGCCGTACCAACGTTTTAAAGCCTGTCCTAGAACAATGATTAGATTCAAATAAAGGTGGGTGTAACTGCAATTGACCGAACGGGAAGAAAAGTGAGGTAGGCATTCGTTCAAGGAGTTGGTAAGAGGAGAAACCCCCGGTAAAGCACTCCAAGGATCACATCATTATCTGCTGTGCCCCAATCCTTGATCCTTTCAGGGGATCTAATTATAGGCAATGTAATGTGATAACACTAGTGGATGGTTGCTATACGCGTAATTTACGGTGGTATTTCCGTCACTCCTAGGAACATAGCCCCGGTCATACAGTATGCCCAGGTGGAGTTTTTCCCAGAGGTAACATGCGGCTGACCTCGCCTGGGCAGGTTCTATGTCCTTGAACATTGAATTAGCGGTCAGGTGTATATCATATTGATGCAGATCAATTCATATCGCGAGTGATAATTCGGCAGCAGCACCAGCCCGACCCGTACCAGTATTGCATGACTTTATCCGCCCTCCTTTCCCAGGTCCTTGATCCTTTACAATGTATCCTGTTCCATTTGAGATATGAATTCTGTCTCACAGTACTTGTGGTGAGCAGATCTAGTTAGTCTGCCTCGCACATGCAGCTATTTCTTCGGTGGACTGAGTGTTGTGCAAAATCTGCTCTCTTTATCAATGTAAATAGGTGGCGCCTTCGCATGTTAATTCTTCCGACACAGCTATACCATTAGGAGGACGAAGAGCAATGGCGGGGATAGACAGGCTTGAGTCTCTGCGCGTTTTACGAAGGGGTAGTAAACAATTCAGACCTTTTTGCCGTTTTTCCGCTGGATGACCTGCTTTTACGGGTACCACTGATTCCGACAAAATATCCATACTTAGATACTGGAAGTCGGATGTATAATATCCAGTTCGAAATATCACATTAATTCCTATAGAAGCTACCAAAGTTGAAACCGAGTTAAAAAGGTTACAAACCGAGACTGTTTAGTTTGGAGACTGGTTACAAAGTCAGCACTCCTGCTCGAGGCAAAAAAGGCGGAAAAGGAGCGAAGAGGAGACTATATCCTGGCCGCAAAGGGGACAGAGTTCTGTATTGTGGAAAGGAAGAGGGACAGACGGAGGGTCGAACCTCTACCAATTAGGCAAAGAGGACGACGACACCAGATCCAGTATGTTTCTTGCAGCCATTTCAATCTCCAAGCTCCGCATAAAGCCACGGATCCTGGAGTAATTCCTTTGCAGTACTTCGTTCTTCTGGGTGCCATTTTATCATCCTTTGTACAAACTCGATGAACATCCTCTTATCCTCATTATGTATGTTGCGTATTGAATTTTCAAAGTTGAAGTCCGACGGTGCAATAGTTGTGCCTTTAAATTGTGCTATTGAATGAAGTCAGCGATTACTTGCTGAAACAGACAAGACAAGAATATACTCACCATCAGATTTGTAAAAGAGATCAGTTCTTGTTCCTTTGTCTAAAAGCTCCTTTGGAGGAGGGCCTAACAATGCAGAGATATGGCCAAGATGGTTAAGCTCATCATATCCTTGAACTTGGAGGGGGTCAACTTCCTTGAATAGCTTTTTGCCTTCAAGGACATCCCATAACTAAGGAACAATGTTAGCTTTATATCGTAATGATAAGTTCTAGACATACCATGACTCCTAAGCTCCAGATATCGGCACTGTATGAATAGCCTGCATCCAGAATAACCTCTGGGGCTCGATATATTTCCGCCTGGATACACCCTCTATTTGGCTTATCCCCGCGGACAGATAAATCGAAGTCAGTGATCTGGATAATTCCTGTGGTCTTTTCGGAGATGCCGAAGTCATTCCGAGAGAGATATATTGTGCGGCCATCTGAGCAACTCTTCTGTGGCAGAGGATGTTCGTATTCGTCTCTGGCAGATTCCTCCAAAATAGACGGATCCTCAATTTTGATCATTATATTGTCTGGTTTCAAATCTGGGATCAATTAGTTCAACATTTCTGTTATTTAGCCAAGAACCAAAGACGAACCGGTATGAATAACATGACACTCAGAGTGGAGATAGTCAAGTCCATGCAGCACCATTTGAAGTAATATTTTCAGCACGTCTGAAGGTATCACATCATCGATAAACCTTTTGCGGTATATCCACAGTGGTTCTCGCAAAGGCTCGAAGACAAGAGTGAGATGTCTCGCCAACCCATGCTCTAAAATGAATGAATCGAGAGGACGCCTGATGAATCCCCAACCCTTGTGCTGGGGATTTGCATCAGAGACATGTCTTAGGATGTCAAGTTCAGCTTGAGCAGCGTTCTCTCGAGAATGATGAGCACTGGAATTGATCTTGAGAGCAACGTATTTCTCTCTTAACCAGCGCCATCTGTACCAAGGATTAGCAGATGCTACTCGAGATGCGTCGGGTGTACGTGGAGAACAAACTGGTTTAGATCCCGAGCAAGCCAGATAGTTGAGCTACTTCCATAACCGAGTTTGGTTGCGAGTTGATACCGGCCCTTGAGAACGTTCCCCAAACGTGCGGGATAAAAACGCGCAGGGTCATAGTATGGCGTACGTTCCTCTTCGACGGCTTCATTCATTGGAAGTTTGGGAGCGACCGCCGTTGACAGTGGCCAAGGGCGGTGTTTAAGTGCCCAGACCGGGGACATGGCTCTAGATTGGAAAGTTGCCATAAGATTCCATGGGATGTGAGGTGGCGTGAGCAAATGCCAGGGAGCTGATCACAGTGTGAGGATGAAAAGAGAAAAGGGAGAGGTGACCCTCCGGTTGGGAGACAGAAGGCTGAAGGCTTGGCGGATAGATAATCACGTGACTACTATATTGCTTGTCCAATGTTCGGGGAGAAAACTCTTAACCACGTGTGATTCGCAAATAAAAAGGGACAAGCCTGACTTCTCTAGAGAACTAAAAATGAGGAAAGGAGCGAGCGTCATCAGCGCTAGCCCAAAAGGTTCTCTGATTCCTGACAAATCCTGACGGTCTCTCCTAGCCATCCTAGTATTACAAGTATTACAATCACATTGCACATGTATTTGCACCCAAATACATTTGTTCACCCTGGTTGTAAAAATATCTGCCTGTTTGAAAGTAATGTTCATTTATAATGGACAATTCTGAACATCTATTTCTGGTCCGCATTGAAACCAAAAATGGTACGTGGCACAGGTAATTTAGAAAGAGAAACGCATATAAAACTACCGACATATCAAGGACGTACTGATGTAACGGTACTGGGGTGCAGATAAATGTGGAATGCCACTGTATCTTTAGTTCGTCCCTTCCCGCATCCGTGGCCTATGGCTACAAAAATGTAAGAGAAATCCACAATAGTGACATCAACTTCCTCCATCGCTGCATATATATTTTACTCAAAACTCAAATGACTCTGACAATCCTAATGGGTTTCGTTTCTGATGCCCATCACACGAAGTATCCCTCAACTTACTCCTGCGCGCCGTTGAAACTTGCTTTGGAATATTCGACAGAACCGTTCGCATAGACGTGGACAGAAGTGAGACGAGACTGCCCCTGAAAAATCTGACCGGAAGCGCGCAGCTCTTTGTCTTTATCAGATGTATGAGGTTCTCCACTACCGTTATGTCAGTGAACGATATGATTTAAGCATTGTAATTGAGTAACACACGCAAATTTGACTTTGTCAGCTCCAGCCAACTTTCGGTTCTTCTTCATCTTTTCCTTAAGAAGATCTTCATATTTTGGATGTGATTTGGTTCCCTCCCAGATGATCTCGAGCAGGGCTTTAGCGGTGGTAGCGGTGGAAGAGAAAGCACGGCGGATGTTGGTAGCTGGCCCCACTGTTAGTGTTGTTCGATGAACTGTGCATAAGAATATAGGAAGGTAAGTGCGAGGTGTGAGATGAAGCTGTAAAAACAGTTCCTAGGCATGATGGACTGAGCGCTCATCAGTGGCCCTTTGGCTGGAGAGTATGTTCCAGTCAACCAAGGAGGGTGGATATAAAGGATCAAGCTCGTACCCATTTTGACTAAATGTACAATTGGAAAATATTGCTTGATGTAGGACACAATATAGAACGCCTCGGAATTGGGGGCCTTTTATGTTTCCCATGCATGCACTCCTTGGAACACAGTCTGCTTGTTCCCGAAGCTACATACATAGACTAGAGCACCTATTTTGGGGTAAGCCGTTACTAGGTTTATTGGATAGGTTTCCTTTTGTTACATGAAGAAGAACGCTGATTTCCTGCTTTTCCTATTGCTGGTAACCGCTGGGTCCACATCTCAGAACTTATATCTCTCAGCCACTGCCACAATAGCCGCCATGTGCATTTTTTGACCAAAGCCGGTCTGTGGTACGCAGTTGGATGGAGTCTTTCCAACCAATACCTCGAGACCTTTTTATTCAATGATGCTCGCACTACTCGCACGGGCCCAAGCGGCGATGTATTTGTTGTGGACAACTCAAGGCTGCGACCCGCCAGTTTTGGAATAATCATGTAACAAAACGAGGGGCGCCATGACTGGCGAGGAAAAAGAATCTGACTTCTAGCCGGCATTCATCCGCCGATGGATTTCAGTGGGCTCGCCGATCACAAACCTAGTACTTGATGCATGTGCAAAGATTGCTGCATTGCGCACAAACCCTCCCAGGAGCACGAGTTAAGGTTTGGCGACTGTATTGATTGGATTTGACAGGGGTAAGGCGTCCGACACCATACCCCTGCCATACCCAATGGTTTTGCTTGAGGCAACCCTGTATTGTCCCGTGGTAGATCCCGATCAGTAAAATGTTGGCGTTCCGCTTATCCTGGGTCTTTTCCAATTGTCTTTCATCCTCAAGATGGATCGCAGTAGTAATGCAATGTATATCGCCGCATTGGAGCGCCATATCAATTTCCTCCAGCATACTTTGCAAGAATGGAGACCGCATGTCCCAGAGGCCATTGTTCGAAAGTCACAGCATTTACAAAAAGTGCCATCTCTTGCTCTACCGTTTCATTCAACTTCCCACACGTCGGTAGAACAACGCGGAATCACACCTCAACCAAAGCCGCCTAATATTGAAGCAAGGTGGAAAGTGCAGCTCCAAAAATTCATCGGCAAAATCCCGACTGCTCCAGAATGGACCAAGAAGGTTCCCGCCCCTGATTCATCGGTTCTTGGTGTCCTCTTTCAGAACAACGCTATAGCAGCGCAACCGCGTTCAGCAGCGCCGACTGAGTGCCTCAATATCATCCAAACCGTCCAGCAATGCGCTTTATTTACGGGCACTAGGATCAGAAATGCCGCAAATAGCAGGCTATTTGCGTCTTACTCCAAGATTATTTTCTGTGCTCTCTGTCATGTAGCGTGTTGTAACGGCGTCGCACCAAAGGAGGTGGACCAGGCCATGACGACCATTTCGAAAGGAAGCTCTACACATTTGGAGGAACTCAGACATGGAGTGACATGGGCAATCGAAGCCATTGATTGCCTTCATAGGGGAGGATGGGGTATTAGGAGCGGCGACATCCTCTTTCATTGTAAGTTCCCTCTCAACTGGCAAAATTGATGTGAAATTTATGAGAGATTTCACAGTTCCTCCGACTTTCACCTCGTTACAATACTTGGCAAAAGCAAGTGGTGCCCTCCGTGACTTCACCGATCAACTGACAGAAGAAAAATACACCAAAATTCCACAAGATACCCCAACAAATTGGCTTTCTATTCCGTGCATCATCAAGTGCCTCTTGGGTCGAAACTTACAGTATGTGAATTGGGTACCTCCATATATTTATCTACTAATGGAGCCAGTCTTTCCTCTATATGCATCTCTCTGCGGTGCGATTATGAGACAGCTCGACACAATTTTATGCTATTTTATTTGAACATATATGGCTTGGATGCATTGGATGACACAGAGTCCCGATCTTTCTGTTTTCCTTTGACTCCGGCTGTTTTGAGCCAAGAAGATTATTGGGAGGGGGGAAATTCTGACCTTGACAAGGAACGAACCCCAACCCAGGACAGTCAAGAAAGGCCCAAAAAACGGCGCTGCGCAAGGTTGCGAGAGACGTCTTCATCTCCTCGGGGGACTGATCCAACATCTACCAGACCTGGGGTGGACATTCAAGGCAAATTGTTTCAATCTGAGCGAAGGGATGCCCAATCACTAATTCCACCAAGTAAGCTGTTTTCTGGACGACGATATGGTGAATGCTGACCTACCAGCTACTGTTCCTACTGTCTACGGCCAAAGTACGCATTCTATCGAGCCAAGTTTTACCGACGACCGACAGCAACCAACATTGCCAGTCTGCCGTCACCCTGAGACCCCTCAGAATTCATACGAGCAAGATTTACCATTTTCGAGCGACACCGGAAGTATGCCAGCTTCTTTATTTTGTCAAGCAGAATGATTACATTTAGGAAGATTTGCTTACGCTTCTTCCAGGCTCAGCCAGAATAGACGTATTCTCCTTGAACAAGTCTGTGTCTCCATTCAGTCAAAGGGCGGGAATCGTGCCCAATATTCACGTCGAAGGAACTGACCTCGAGAACTATGATTCTGCTCTTGCGGTCAATGAACACTTTTCGAATCGGATTGATGGAGATCCTGTAATAAGTCAGACGCTTTTCAGTCGATTTGACTCTGAGCCTTCTATCGAAGGTGCGCTGTTCGCACCGTTCGACTCAGATCCTGCCATTAAGCGTGTGCTCTTTTCCCAGGGATTGGAAATTCTATAATAACCAACTAAATTGCTATAATTGAATACATGGTCTCAAAATGAAACAATCTCTTGCCGACTAGGATCTCTTTTTCAGTATCCCTTGCAAGATGAAGACTCCGCCGCCTGCTTTAGGCCACCTGATAACCAGGTCTCCATCCATAACCAGCATTTGATCCAACCTGAGACAAATTTCCTTCTCCGGTGCGTTTCCTATAGACTTTGACTTTATATGTGACCCCTCAAAATACCTCAGGAACCCAACCGCTTCACTTAAATCATGGTCTATCGGTTTGAAGAGAAGGACCTTTCCAGGCCCAAGCCTATAAGGAGGAAGTTGCGGGTTATTGGTGAGGGTCAACATTATCGCTTCGTCTTTGACTGCATCAGAGTAGGGACCGCATCGACTCGCAATGAATTCATTTGTAGCCAGCTATAGTATGTTAGCATGGTCTGGCATGACATATATTAGAATCTAACCATGACGAACCTCCACTCCATAATTAAAAAGCGTACGACAGTTGGGACCAAATGCTTTTATCGCGACACAACTCAGTTCGGAAGATTCATTATAGTTTGCTTGTAGCGCAGTCTGAAACTCCGATTTGGCGGCCTCGATGAGTTCTGGGCGTGCGCGGGCGCAAGGAATGATGTCGAAACCGCGGTCTTCCATTCCCCGTAAAAAGGACTCAGTATAATGGAAGTCCTCTGTCAAATTTCGAAATGACTTAGTTTCCTTTCCCTGATACTCGTTCACTTGGTTGATATGGTATCTGGGTTGGTCATCGCTGAGTTCTCTTCTTGGTGAGGGGCTGGCGGGGTTGGGCAAAGACTCGCAGTTCTGCCAACATGATCAGACTCACGTGACATCCTCATCCAAGTAACAGAACGGGCATCGAACGCTGTAGATTCATCAGAACATTTTTATTTGATTTCGATATCCCAATGATTTCTGAGTTGGAACGTGAACGAGATCTTGGTCCATAGAATGTGTGTTTAAATTGGAAGATTTAGTGCCCATTTGTGGTGACTGATGTGGGACTTATGCCTGAAGCCGCACAAGCCTGTCGCAGTACAATATCTTTGGACATGGCAATTTGATCGAATGTCTGATTACGTAATAGGTAAGGAGATGTGGAATAACTAACGTTAATACAATACAGGGTCATTGATATCTCCAATTGACCGGATATAGCACAGATCGTGACAAATATGTATGTATCCATCTCCACTGCAACATTCGTGCTGACAGAGCCTAAGAGGGAGGATGTTGCATCTACAGAAAACAGACCAATATGTTACACGTTGTTAACTGGTCACAGTCAAGTTAGAAAGGTTCTGAATTATACCTGCCTTACACTTCTCTGTCTTCTAACGTCAACAATATGTCTCTCAACCGTACCGTTGTCTAGCAGGCCTTATACGGGCTTGTCATTTCGAGGGTATCGGGAACGATGCTAGGTAGAGCGCCGAGTAGCTCTATAATATTGGACTCCTCGTGGGTTTGGGTCAAGTTATAATCAAGTAAAGAGCCACAAAGTCTGAGTTGTAAACACTAGTAACAATGTGCGATTGATCACGAAGAACTAAACTAAGTACGTGAGCGGGTTTCCTTATATATTCTTCAGGGTATATCTGTGTGTGTCCAGTTACTTCTCCGTATACTCCGGAAGTCTATCCTGGAGTCACGGTCACTCGTATTTTCGGACGACATTTGTCTCGTGTATGGCCATATCTTGGATACGTCGTTGCGCAAGTGCGGCCTATCCTCAAGAGGACAATGGTCTTGTGTTCGTTGATATTTTGCGACACAAGCCGTAGTACCCTCAGAGTCGTGGCCTTTCCTAGGACATCGGGGATCTCGAGATGGGGCAGGATAGTCCCGTTGCGTCAGCGTGCGACAGATTGTGGTTCTTCACAGGACAGAGATTGCCCTGCGGTCTTAAGCATTCCGAGGCATCAACTGTGGCAGTCCCCACATTTGTTCTTGCCGTTATGTATACAACGTAGTCCGTACCAGGTGGGATGGTCATGCTGGTTCGTTATTCTTTTACGTGACTTCAATGACAGGTATGTTGGTTGGCTCTCAATGGCACATTTGTAGATTGCGGCTAGAGGGGCCATAACATATAGTAATACCCCTTGAGAAATGATCTAAGATACTAGAACTATATTTGTTCTGGGAGGAGCGGCTCATAGAAAATATTGCTGACATAAGAAAGATGATTGGATATTACAGGGGTACGATGTTCAACACCATATCCCTGTCGCATCCGTCATAGTTTCAATTTAAAAGACCGTAACATAGTTCAAACTGAACTATGCATACATCCAGTACCCTTTGGTCTTGTATCCTCGCGCTCTTTCGATGCTGCAGGGCGGTAAAGGTGCAGGCATGGGAAGGCCCTCAAGGTTTGGATGCTTTTTTTGATAACTCGAACGGCATGCCAGTAACTATTGAATCAGACGAGGGCTATCAGCACAGGTGCTGCATTTTAGCCTTCCGTTTAACCTATTTCTGCTGAACACCTGGACGGGGTTGCGGTGAGTGTCCCGGAAGTGTTGCATCTAATTACCATCCAATGTATATCTCTAACGACGAAAGAAATAGAAAACACCATCTTTCTTGGACCCCGAGACCGAGTCTTATTGCTTCCTTCAATTTGAAATGATGAATAAGAAGATCCCAAACACGCCTTACAATATTCAGCAATTGTGGTTCGAGCACTTCGAGATCTCGCGAACAGAGCCGAACAAATCCTCCGTCGGATGGAATCTCCTGGAGGAACGTGATCTGCGGACTGAGGGCCCGAAGTAGTTCGCGAGACCTTGCCTGAAAATTACTCTTTCAAGATTGTATGGAACCACCCCCGGGTTGGTCCCCGGAATAACCTTAGAGGCCCACACTAAGGGCAAGCAGGCTATGCTATGGCCATTAAAAAGGCGCAGATATTGACCACATCGTACCGTTGGCCTGCCTAATCGCGGCAAGTCTCTCAAGTTCACGCCATATGTAGATTCTTAGTAAAATCTTGCGTTGGGAAAATCAAAGGTAACAAGCAGGGAAGACGTAAGATCTGCGTAGCAATGTGCCCAAGTTGTAATGGTATTGTCTCTGGGATCTAGACTTTCTATTAAGTTGTTTTTTTTTTTTTGGTAACAGGATTTGGCTTTGACCTCCTTCAAAAAGCAATCTGTTTGATGGATCTCATGCAGCAAACAAAAGCCACGCGGAGGCAGCCGGCCCTGATGTTGGTGAACCCCAGCTAATGATGAGGGTCGGAGCATACGTGACATTGTAACAATCCAGGGGGTATATAGTCCTGCATATTGATAGCAGCGTCGATGCCGCGGACATACCAATACACTGCTGCACTGCTCCCCCGTTCACATGAAGGCCTTCAGCCAGCTGGTAGAGTCAATCTCCCATTTCCAGTCCACATTCACTACTATCTATGACGATTCCTCTATTGAGTCTTTCGGAACTCCATTGGAGAACCACCAAAACACCGTACTTGCCTCAGCAGACTTTTATTTCCAGGAGACGCGCGATTCTACCAAGCTGAGTGTCGGTGAATCCATTCCCCGTCCCCCACAAGCCGCGTTTCTGTGTGAATCGCATAGACATACCATCCATCAGACTGTTACACCTCGAACCATTAACAGTCAGCCCATACCAATTGGCCCCGTCTATAAGCCGAACCGCGAGTCCTTAGGCACATGCTCGAATCCTCGCACACCGCCGACGACCCCACAAAAGAGCGTCACATTATGGCGTTTGATTATCTGCAGCAGTAAGTCAACTTTTTGACTTGATCCTCAATACGGTGTGCTAATTGAAGGACAGACTCATAAAATACAAGTCTTGGGCAAGCCCTCTGGATGATCACCTCGCGGATGTGCATGATATCACAAAATATTTAGGCCTTTTCACGTACATCCCCACCTTTCAAGTGTACTTGAAATTCAGTGATCGATGCATTGATGGAACACCAAAAAATGTGGAGATTGAACTACGAAAATTCTTCCAAGCACCTGAGACATTGAGCTTAAACGGCCCGAATTGATTCGCCATGCCCAGCGGCTGATATGCGAGGACGATTGGAATACTCTGTGGGAGAGAACGAAGATACCGTCAGACAGATAGTCAATCCTAAACGGAAATTAAGGCACAGAATAATTGAAGTGTAGGCATTGCAACAGCTGCGTCTGCCACGCCCTCTAAGACGCACTTACGGTACTTTGCGTGATACGTTGCAACTCCACCGTTAACCGCTAGTCCTAAGTGCTGCAAGACATTGTGTCCCAAATAATTAAATAGTGTACCAAGAATACATTCAGCCACACAGCTTGAGCTCCAAGAAGATCAATGCTTGTTTATATTGGACAGGAACTTTTCCCTTTTACAAATACAGGGTTTTTGCCTCTTACTTCCTACTACAATCCCTCTATAAGAACAGTATTGAAGCTGCAGAATTTCTACCTGCTGTTTTCGCTTTGTACTACTCTGTGACTCTTCAATATCTAAAGCAGACAATATGAGCAATATGAAAAGAGAGTTTGCAATCCTACGAGAAAGCATCCGTGCAACAGGATACGATTACATGTGTCCAGAGTGTTTCGTGCTTTTGAAAAATATACCAGCCATCAGAAGCCACTGCGAAGGCAAAGACGACGACACCCATCAAGGACTGGGATTGACCAAACGAGAGAATTTTCCGGAGTTCCTCGAATGCTATCAGAGAGCTGTGGGATGGAATGTGCTCCTCAGCTTAAAAGATGGGCCAGGCCGCACTACTTTTGCCCCATTCTTTCTGGTCGACGAAGTACTCCAATGGAAACTGTGTAGGTGTTGACATTACAGAGCATGATAGATAGTTTCTGACAGAGCTACAGTTCAATTTCCCGAGGAATAAAGATTGCCCATCCATGCCAAAAGACATTCTTTTGTGAGGATAAATCTGTCAGGTTTGCCTCTGGAACCTTGTGAAAGACTGACCAGAAAGCGAGATCAGAACCCAGTCTGGACGGAATCCACCGGCAACAAATTGCTTTATCGGCGAATAGAGAGATACGGAGCTGGATACCATCAGACCCTGACTGATTAACATATCGAGATTCGGGGATAAGATTGGAACGACATTGTCGGGGCAACGGTTGAACGCGTGATGGCGGGTATGGAGCAGGCTCCAGGACAGTCAAAGTGGTGACAATATTGATAAATTCTGTTAATTAGACCAGCAGCTGATTAATTGATGCAACTAAAAACAAAATTCGACAGTGCAACTGTATCTAAATATACAAAACCCATTTTCTCTGAAACAGGTATTCCACTAGCCCTAGTAGTCGGATAAATCGTCTCTTAAAGCTCTTCACTGACTCCGGCTTGGCCATTGTGGTGTTTCTGAAATAAAAAAAATGGATATCATTGCACACACAGTCAAGTCTTTTGTAAGGTTCAGCGAAGAAGAGAAGAAGCTGACGGGGAAGAGGCACTCGAAAATCTTCGTTGAAGTGCCAGGTGAGAAGAGCGAATATTTTGAGTGAGTCGTCCGTAAGGTCTTCCATCATGCTTTGCACATGCCGTTTCAGAATGTTGTTTTCGGCCAAACGGACCCGTCCCTCTCTGTAGCCGTTCTTCCGAAGCTCCTGACAGGCCGTCACAAGCGACGCAATCTCAGGACTGAGCTTGTGCTGCCGTTGGATTGCCTTTTCTAGATCTTGGGTACCCAAAAACCATATTTGCAAAGCTGTCAATGATTTTTGGGCTGATATCTTGAGGGCGGCTTGGGGGATCTGTTTATTCGATTTTAGCATTAGAAAAGAAGCGAAAAAGAAATCCTCTTACCATCTTGATGGGCCTTTTGTGATAAGAAGCAGAAAGGTGCAGACTGAGCACATGTATCCTCCATCATGGGACAAGGTGTAGGAATGGGGATCTCTATTTGTATATCAATGTTTCGGGCTGAAGTACTATGTATCTATGCACGGACGCTAAATTACAATACCTTTCAATTATATGGTAATTTTTACTTTTTGAAAGCGCTTGTATCGAAATGGATATGCATTGTCCAGTAGTTCCATGAAAGCCCCATACTGGATGCAGCAAAGTAAGCATCCTGGCAACCAATCCCGGCTAGCTCAATGAGATATTATTTTTGTACCATTACCCCTGACTTAATTGCGGATTCTTGCCGGTACTCTCGTGAGAATTCTAGATTAACAGGCGCCCCAAAGCAGCTAGCCAGCCACCAGGACTAAGGCATGCATCACAAGTTCTTCCCCACCGAAACACTGTAACTTTCCAAGCGAACTGTGAAAGACTCTTATGTGCAAGGAGGGAGGATCGTTCCCTTCACGCCATACTATATTAACTATAACCCCACCCGTTGGTCCTGCTTCCCTGAACTTCAGCCGGACCGACTCTCTTCACTTTTAGACTCTCTCCGAATCATTTCAAGGCTTCGATTCCCTAAGATCATGACGAACAACAATAGCTACTCTCCTCCACATTTGCATTTTCAACCTTTCAATACACCTGTTCCGGAACCTAGTCCCCGATCAGATTCGCACAGCGATGGCATCATTCCTACTTTTGGAACAGGTATACCTACCATTTGTTTGAGTCAATCTTGCTTAACCAATCCACGAGGAATTACATTGTGCTGATTGCCAAAATCCAGAGCGTTTGACTGGGCAATCCTATGTTCAGATCCCACAGTCCAACTGCATTGAAACACAGCCAGCTTCATCTCAGGAACTGCACCGCGCACCTTCCACTTCCGGTGCTTTCCTTTATCCTATGTCAGAAGAACCCTTTTTACCGACTCATCAGCTCGACAACAAAAAGTGGGTTGAAACATCCTCCGAAAACGGTATCGAAGGCGAATCGAGTATAGGACCACCGACTGTATCAGGTTGGACCACATCTGCTCCAGATAGCCAACTTCTCAGTTACGGATGTAACAACACTCCCCTGTGTGAGGGCCAAGAAGTATACTGTGGAAACAAACTACCTGGTAAATGGTCCACGTTGGACTGGTCATGGATTGGCCGACTTCCGGAGAGTGACTCTGCAACCGTCACCGAGGTGCTCTTGTGTCTTCGAACGAGCGACACCACTTCCATGGACCCGTTTTACAAATTTATATTTCAAAAGCTGGACATTCAAACGTGTATAGACCTCTTAAAAGAATGGATGACGCTCAACAACTGCGGTGTGGTCCTAACCTACGTGAAGCCAGTTTGGTGGCCATCAGAATTGGAATACATGAATCCAGAAGAATCTGAGGATGATGGTATGTTTACCCAATCAGAACTGTGTATTTCATTCCTCGCTAATGTTGGAAGACCTGAGAAACGCTGTGTTTGTCATGCTACGAAGTGCCGACACCAAACAGTTTAGTGTCGCCTTGGCACCTTTGAAGAGTAGATCCGTGGATATATGGATACTCCGGCTGGCTTCGTTGCTGACACAGATCGAGTCTTCCAGCCACAAGTTGACGGGTAGGCGACCCTTTGGCTTCCGCCTGGATTTAATTGACAATCTTAGATTTCATATCCCGTATCCCTGATCTGCCATTACCAGGCAAGATTCACAGCGCCAGTGGCAAGCTTGGTGGGATTCTGTCAGAAGAATGAACAGAACGCAGGAAGCGCGAACATCAGGTCCGCTTCCAAATTTGCCACTTCTGATTTACTAAGAGTAGCATGAATAGACATACGCCGAGGTTTTTCATGCCAAATGATATCAGAGGTACGACAGTGAAGACTAAAGCCCTCACTACTACAATGCGCCGAGAGAAGCGCACATCCCCTCTTCCAAATTCTCGACAGTAGAGACCCATCTTTACTTGGTGGCAATGTGCAATCCTCATTCTTAACCGTAACCACCATCAAATATAGAACTCTTGATTGAGACTGAGTTAGCCCTTTTGCCACTGATATACTTCGGGAAGCTCACGTGTCCATTGAAGGTCGTCGGTCCACTTTGAATCACCATGGAAGCCCGAGATCATTTCTCATTTGGTCATGAGGGCTTCGGTAACTCATGTCTCACCACAATATCTATCAAGTTACCTCGAATAGTGGACGGCAGGTTACTTCAGACTGATTCTCAAGTTTGCGACATTTATCTGCGGACTACCTCCATCAGCACCTTTTCTGGCAGCGCTACCCGCGCCGTCTCCCTGTCCTCCACCTGCGGCCCCCGAATATCGCGCGATCCAACCTCGACCAAATGAATAATGAACATGATCTTCTCCTATTAAATAAACGTGATATACCCAAGATCTGATGCGCAAGGCTTCACGAGATGGATGAAGTAGGTATTGCCAATGAGAAGGCTGACATTCTTGAGCGAGGTTTCTTCAACCCGGCATGGTAGCAGGTGTCATCAAAACGAATAACCACCTTATATTTTTCTTATCGTGGTCGATCATAAGGACCCATCTTGAAAGCGGGATTTTATTCCATCCACAAGTACCACACTTTGGTACAGGATTTGATAAAATCCTTATCGTTTGATAGAGAATTGCCCATAATGAATCCGGTGCGGTCTCGGTAAGCCGGCAAGCGTTCCAGTTTGATAAATCGATAGAATTTGTCTTGAATTCCTCCATAGCGATAGCGGTCCTCACCAAGACGTTGACGGTTCGGAAACTGGTGGTTGAAGTTTGTAAGGACACTATGCCATTCTTTCCAGAGAACGACGCGCTGGTGCCAGATGAAGTAGCTTTCCTCCAGTGAGTATTTCATACGACGCGTGGGCCGGCTGGGTGCGCTTGTAGTGGCGTTTTCGACGCCTGTCCGTCCGGCAATGGCGAGTGAGAGCCCTGTCATTTGCACATATGGTCTTTTGGAGGGGCAGCCATTTAATTGTACTATGGGTCTCGATTTTGGGCTTTTTCCCAGGTGACTGGCATGTTCTGTGCGTTGCGACAGATCCTTTGAGTAGTGTCGCGCGTATTGCGGCATGGGCGTCGCTTGATGGTTCAACAGCGAACTGATCTTCATTGGGTCTGTATTTGAGTGCTGTTGCATGGGCGATACATCGACTGCCATTATTGCTTCAAGAGTCCGAAGAAAGAAAGCGGAGAATTAAAGTAAAAGAGACGGTATGGTCTTGTTCACGAAACGGCCGTATTAGTACGTCTCGGGCCGTTTTCTATTGCAGCATGACCAGTTTGATCTGCACCAATAGACGTATGTCTAACCTTCAAAGCGAGACTAATGACCCCAGCCTTGACTAATTCAATCAGACGCATGCCCCTTCTGGGAAATCTACATCTTGGCATACTGTATGACTGGGATTGTTCCCAGGAACCATCTAGATCGCCAATTAGCGACCTTCCACCAATAAGTTTGCTCCCTGGACTATTACGTGCCTCAAGGTGGAACCAGAGTCTGGTCCAAGCTGGCCCTACGGATTAGTGTGAGGCAAATTAGGGGTCGGAAGATTCATCCAAATTCGAAGATTTCCATAAATAATTGTCCAATCGCTTCTCGTTGTCCGCTCTGCCTTCTTTCAAGGATACTTTTTACTCCCCCTCTGCCCTTCTTTATTTCAGGAAGCAGCCCCAGTTATCTACCACTTCACACCAACGGTGAGTTCAGCCTCAATAAAATGGCTGATGCTACAGGGTCTGACCTTCACAGGCGACGGACAGTATTTACTCACTGCCGTTCACTTTTTTACAAGAGCTACCTCTTTGTCTTGGAATTCTTTTCGCTGAAACGAACAGCAGGATATTGCGGGTGTTCGTTAGGTCGTCATGTTTACTCCGAAGGACATCATGCCAAAGATGCCAGGATCAATCATGTCGTCATCTTCCACCTCACCTTCCGAAACCCTCCCAATTTCCAGGGGTGGCAATCGTCAGCGGTCTACTCGAAAACGGCGGGCTCTTTCATGGGGAGACATGCCCCAAGGCGCACCCTGGGATCTGACGGACTCGCTGAGCAAGTTGACTCAAAATATGACCGATGTCCCAACCCTGGATATAGACAAATGGGTGCGCCGGTCGGTTGAAGAACGCCGGAGGGAGACACAACAAAAAGGAATGGTTCCGCGGCCCATGAACCCCTTCATGCTATATCGGTTGGCGTATACAGAAAGCATCATAAGACTGTCGGCCCGACGCAACCCTCAAGTCATCTCCTCTATTGCAGGAAAGAGCTGGTGGAAGGAAACACAGGGTTTCCGCGACGAATACGCGAGGCTATCCAAGATTGAACGCGATGGCCATGTCCAGGCGCATCCGGACTACAAATTTAAAAGAAAATTGCGAAAAAGGCCGTCTGTTGCCGAGCCCGTGGCACTTTTTGAGAGTCCTGAACTTTCCGAAAACAGCAATTGTGGCTGGCCTCCCGTCCAGGATTCTGGAGCGAGTATCCAAAGCCCCATCGATTATCCCTACTTGGGGTCTCATCCCGAAGGCATTCTGGGAAATCACTTCGAGCCTATGGGAGGTGTTTTCCAAGGAGGCTATTCCAGTGGCTTGGTTGGGCTTCCTGATGAAGCGCACCACGACTTGCTTTGTCCTGAGCCGATCAACCCCACGACTAGCATCTTCATAGACGGGAGCTACGTGGACCCTCAGTGGCAAGAAAGCCTATGGTTTGTTTAGCATGAGGAGTTGCGATTTAGTAGTCGTCTGCAGCCAAAATATTGCACGGCTTTGGCTTCTGTCGAAGCGATATGGCAAAAACAGGCCGGCGATCTAATTTTTTGAGCTGGCGTGTGTGCTATTAACGTATTTACTAGCACCCAAGCCAATGTATAGCATGATCTAAATTCAGTAAATGTCAAGTAATCCATGTGAAACTATATTTGCGTGATGCATTCCCTGAAAAACCGAATAAACAGCACAATTGTATGTGATTGCTCAAGCGTTGTTACATAGTACGTAGCCTTTTTCTGCAACCTTTGCATATCTAAATGCCAGGTAAATAGATAATACAGGCGCGTACCTCTCTCAATATCTTTTCGCGGGCTCCTAGCCATCTCCAGGGATTGCTTTGCGAAGCCCAAAAGTTGGTGTGCCATAAAATTTGTACCACGCTCAGTGACTGTAAAAGTCGGGTCTCTTTACGCTGCCTGGGAGATCAATTAGGGCTGTTTTGTTTCGGCTGATATGGTTAATCTTCAACATTTAGTATAAACCCCTTGGTGGCGAATATATATGCAGGCCATAGAATATAAGTGAGCTCACCTTTACAACTAGTTTGTCACTATGATCCGCGTTCTATATAAGTCCATACAGTACATGTACCAACGGGAGTGTTCTGAATTGGTTAAAGGGTAAATAGTGTGGCAGTAAGCTAATAAATAAAGCAAGTAAAAGAGAAAGAAAGAGGAAAGAGAACCTAAATTTGATGCATATACATAGTGATCGGACATCCAGGAAGAAGACGATAATGACTGGGAGTTGAAAACTGCCATCATCCAAACCATGCCTTGTCTAATTAAATTGAGGCCCTACTACCGAAGTAGAGCATGCTGGGCCACACGTGATAGGCGGGGAGGTATAGGGCTTAGACAGCACATGCGACTATCTGTGAAGAGGCTAACCCGCACGATGATTATACATTTGCTGCGCCAATGATGGGAGCGGAGGACCCTGGTACCGCTCGGCACCGCGTCCCTGCAACTCGTGAAGGGGATAGTGAGGAAGGCTCGTAGGGCTGCTCAGGAAGGATGATGAGACTGATATTGGAACAACTGTTCCGGAATTCATGTCAGGATTGCGGGGGACCACGAGTGTAGAGTATGAACGAACCGCCTGTGTGAGCCCTTCCCGGCACACTGCTAGTTTGAGAAATCCTAGATTGTGAATTGGGCGTGCAGAAATGGGGTGGTCGAGGGGTTGAAACTTGGGAGTTGGACGGGCAATTTAGGACTGGGTTTTGTATGTAAGTGGGCTGGTTGTTCTGCAAATTTGGGCTCGTTCCCAGTTGTGGAATGTTGGCGCCTGAAGTACCAATAGAGAGTGACTGCTTGTTCCCAGCTCCTTCCGGTGTTCTGGTGGACAATTCTAAGTAATTTGAGCCTGCCTGTGCGTACTCAGAGGCAAGTTGGTTGGGGCGTCCTCTTCCACCTGCAAGTTCGAATAAAAACAGTCAGTGTGGGAAGCAAGGACAGATAAAGGAAGAAAGGGGAAGAAAAATGCCGGGTGACACATATAGATCTGATATGGTTTAAAGGGCCAAGTGGCTAAAGCGAACACGGCATTAGAGGGGAGCTTACTCTGAAACCCTTCTTTCTGTGGCACATTTTGGTCATGTCTTCTCTGCTCGACAGGCTTTTCTTTTGATGCTCGCTGGCTTCGTTGCCCATCAGGTGGAGCGTCTCGCTCATTGCCCTCCATCTGAACAAGCGGAGTCATTTCGCTTATATTTGGATCAGTGGGATGGACAATACTGCCATTAATTGCTGTGAACCTGGCCGGAGGTTTCGGCGTGATGTCAACTCTATGGCGCCGATTGCCCAACATGGGGTTATCTTCCACATTCTCAGGAGAACTTGAAAGCACCATCTGTTCGGACGCGGATTCGGAGGCAACAACAGCCAGTGGACTTTGAGCCACTGCTTCCTCATCCTCATTCAATAGTGGAGGACTGTTTCGAGAAAGTCTTTCTGCGTTGTCTGGAACCTGCGGCTGATGATGAAGTTGTGGCGATCGAGGTCGCTCTAACAGCGGATGCTTGGGTGTAGTATCATCATTGCTCAGTACTGTTATCGTATGGGATGGGTCCAAGTTTGGAGTGTCAATGATGGCGTTGGGTGATCGTGATACCGGCATAGTATCGAGAACGGCTGGGACAACCGGAGCTAGTTGGTGTATTACATCCTTTTGGCGAGAATCTGCCTTTCGCTTTTTGCGGCAAGCTGTACGGATAGCAGAGGATGTTCGGTAGTGTCCAAAGTCTCTCAGAAACTCAATTTCAAGTCTTTCCTTTCGTAGGCTTTTCCGTTTCATGAGCCACCCTGGTAAACGGTCCAGGTCTTTAGCGATCCATGAACGATGAGAACTCTCCGCCTGCGCTTGAGATTTCTCATGAAGATATCCTATGATCAATTCCTCTTCAGACAAAGTTTTTCCAGAGGTATCGGTGCTTGGCCCATCCATTCCGCTGTATTGAGGAAGCTCAGTCGAGTTACCAGTGGAGCTTGATTCAGGAACTTGGAAGGGCGTCGATGCCCTGGGAACAGGCAACGCACCCAGTCCACTTTCTGTATGGTTTTCATTATTGGAACCCTCATTTGCTGTACCTCTATCCAATGGAATCTCACGGGGTGAAGATTGCGGAGAAAGTTTCTCTGGTGATTGGTCGCAACGCGCCGTGTCTGTCTGTTCCACGTGCATTGCACTGGACTCAGTACGATGGATAAGCGTTTGGCCCAGCTCTTCGAGTGTAGTATCGCCTTCAGGGTGATGCCGGATTGGAGACTGGATAGGTTCTGCTATCCGAGGGGATTCTAAGGGAGAGTTTCGAGGCAAGTAAGAGTCAACCGTCCCTGGTATTGCTGGGAGCACATTGATCGAATTATCATTGCTTGGCTGACTCTCGGGAACCTTATCTGATGACGCTTGATGGGTTTTGGGTGATTCTTCAGCCTGATGGCTTCCTCGAACTGGCCATTCATTTTGACTTGTAGCTGACGCAAGTTCATGCTCCCGAGATGCGTACCGACACCTTAACATTTGATTCGCAGTATGCTGTTCAGATACTGCATGTGGGTCGCTGGATTCTGATTCAGGGCCAACCGGTTGAACACCATGAAGGGTATAAAGGCTTCCATCCTCGCAGTCGTCAGAATTCAAATAGGGTAGTAGGTTCGGGGCTAGACGTAACGCGTGAACCTCGATGTTCGACCTCGAGATCAATTGTTGGGTCAAGTCCACTGATTCAAAAGGTTGAGGAAGCGGTGGGGAGGAGCGAGGTATCAAAGACACAGGTTCTTTGCGCAAAGTCTTCTTATTGCGCTTTCTAAAAGGACTTTTTCCTGTCAAGAAATACACTTTTGCCTCAATAGCATGGAAGGTCCGTTTTTGCTTGAATGTTCGGTGAAAGTTTTGGGCAATCTCTTCCTGCGACAGATTTTGCCGTACTTGGTCTTCGAACCATAGAGGAAGCTGCTTCAGCACTTCTGAAGGCCAAGCCCTGTTTTTGGCGACTGTACATCCAAATTATTAGTACTTCTTCGCCCACTTCAATTTTCAATGCCACGCTTCTTACGTGCATTACTTACAGTTCCACGTTCCAGCACCGCGTTTTGAAGCACTGGCTTGCATGTCTGTTCTTTGAGTCTCGATAGCCATCCCACCGGGCGAATCTGCGTCAACCTGCGCTGGTGTAAAGTGCGCTGGCTCTTCGGCTGACTCCAGGGGAAAGGGCGAGCCCGCCGATCTCTGACTTGGCTCCGGATTGCGGCGAAGAATTCGATCTCTTCTTAGTATTTCTTCAAGCACAGTGTTATTGACTTTGATGACTGCGGGGCGATGTAAGCGAGTGGATAGGATAAAGATAATGCTCGAGTTGGCTTACTTTCCGATGCAAGTTCATTCGCCAGTGATGTCATTTCGGCTGCCAGCGCCAAGGTGTTTAATTCCGTCTGTACGTCCTTTTCGTAGGACCATGGTTGAACCAGCTTCCGGGGTAATCCTGAAAGGATCATGTTGTGTTGGAAAGCAGACAACATGACAATCACGCCCCTGTCCCGCATATGGAAATGGTAGATTCCATTCCCTTTGTATTCGGCCTGATAATCCCTTTCCTTGATAACGTCCAGCCAATTGATATTGGCACTGACTTCGTCGTTCTGAAGCTGAAGCACACAAGGTTTCGGTGCTTCAAACATCATTTCTATGGTCTTCACTAGGACGTCGCTGATGAGGGGAACGTTCAAGAACCCAGCAAAGCTTTCTCGCCCCGCTAGTGCCATGAAATGTGACCGAGAGTGCTGAAGAACCAAAGACAGCTTGTCTTGAAAAGGCTTAAAATGCTCAGAATACACGCTTTTCATTTCTGGCAGACAGTTCAGCGTGTAGTCATCTTCCCTAATGTTGTGGCCAGAGCCTTCAACTGTGACAGTGTTGGAATCCATCTAGAACGTGACTCGATCTGAAGAAAAATCAGTTAGGAACCAGTGGGCACATAAGATAAGAACAAATTACCAAAGACTGCCGTTTACTGGAGGACAAACACGGCAATGTGACACCGCTTCATGAAAACGAGAGTATGAAATGGAAGATGCTAGGCAAAGGTCCCGACAGCGCTAGTTATAAATCCATTCGTTGTCACGTGTGTGGATATTAAGATAATTTATCATTGGCCCGCTGAAATATATATTACCACCACATTCATCTGGATTTTGTTCCCTTTGTGGATCGTGTTCAAGCTTAGATAATGACTAGGTCATATTCCTGCGTTTCTAACATGATACTTTGGCCGGAGTAAAGTTTACTCTTTGTGGGAAGCACGAATCCCGGATCTGACCCGTTCGAAGCTGAGTACACTACGCTTCCCCTGCGTCTAGACCGTTATCAAAGCATAAACTTTAATGCGGGTGATTTTCTTCCGTAATCTCGCCTCCAATTCAGAGAGGGGTGTGGGAATTTACTGA